GCCGCCGCAGATTCCGGAGACAGCAGCCCGCCGGCGGTTGCGGACGCGGCCGGCGGTGGCGGCGGCGGGGGGCGTCTGGTGGAGGGCGGCGGGCACTTCCAGGTGTTTCACACTTTTGACGTTGAGGGTCAGGCCGTGGCCTGCGGGATCTGCGTGCAGGGCTCGATCTCCCTCGGCCAGCGGCTGCTGTGGGGCCCGACCGCGGGCGGCGGCTTCGCGCCGGCGGTGGTGACGGGCATCCACAGGGGCCAGGTCCCCGTGCGGCTCGTGCGGCCGGGGCAGGCGGCGACGCTCGCGCTCGAGGCGTCGCCGGCGGGCGGGGGGAACGAGGGGCGCGAGGCGGCGGCCGCGGCGGTGGCGCGGCGGTGTCGGGAGCTGCACTCGGCGGCGCGGCAGCGGTCCCAGATCGAGGCGGAGATTTTGGAGCTGCGGCGAGACTACGGCGGCAGCTTCTGCTCAGCTCCCAGCGGCGGCGGCGCGCCCTTTGGCGGCGCGGGCGCGGGCCTCGGCGCCGCCGACGCGCTGGACGCGGCGGCGGAGGCGCTGGCGGGCTGCCTGCTAAGCGGCAGCGGCAGCGACGGGGGCGGCGGGTGCGACGACGACGACGAATTCGACCTGATGGGCGGCTTTGACCTGGGGCCGGCCGCCCCCCTGGCCGCCCCGAACGGCCGCGCCGCAGGCGGCGGCGGCGGCGGCAGCGGCGCGGTCGGGAGCCCCGCGTGCGGGCTCGGCGTGGCACAGCCATGGCGCACGATCAGCCTGCCTTCGGACAGTGCTCCCCGCGCGGAGGCCTCTGCCGCAGCAGCGCCGCGTGCGGCGTCACGGATGCGCGTGCCGCCGGCGCCCCATGTCGGCCCCGCCGCCGGGCCCGGCTGCGCGCGCTCCGCGCCGGCCGGCGCGTCCGGCTGGGGCAGGGGCGGGCTGCCAGGGGGCTCCCCCTCGAAGGCCCGGAAGGGCGGGGTCCTGTTGGGCGGCTGCGCGGCGCCGCGCACGCACTGGGAGTTTGAGGCCGCAGTCATGCTGCTGGGCGGCCACTGGCCCCCGCGCGGCCTCCTGTCCGGCCGCTGGCCGCCCTGCGGGGACAGCGGCGAGGGCGGCGGCGAGGGCGGCTCTCCTGAAGGCTGTAGCGGGCGGCGGCGGCGCGGGGGCGAGGGCGGCGGCGCGCGGAAGCCGGGGGAGCACTGCTTTGTGGTGCATTGCAACAGCGTGCGCCAGGTGGCGCGGGTTATTGAGATGCGGGAGCCCGGCGGGCGCGCTGGCGCCGGCGGCGCCCCCGCCTCGCCCCTGCCCCGCGCTGTCGCCGCCGCCGCCGCGCTGCTTCAGGCGCCGCCGGGCGGAGCCGCGGGGCTGGCGCCTGAGGGGCCAGGCGAGCGCGCCGCGCCGGGCGTGGCGACGGTGCGGTTCCGGTTTGTGCACCGGCCGGAGTGGCTGCAGGCCGGGGCGCGGGTTATTCTGAGGGGGCGTTCCGACGGCCATGTAGCAGCAGCCGGCTGCATCACGGCGCTGCTGCTCTGACTTGGCGCCGACCGTGGCTGCCCGCCCACCATCAACCTGGCCCACATTTGGTTGACAGAGCGACGGCTGCCTGATTGATAGCAGCTCACTGCCTTGTACGGAGCTGCGTAGTGCGTGACATGCGCGATTTTGTGTCGCTCTCTGACCTGCCTCGATTGTATGCGCGTCCACTGTATGCTAGGCTGCCTTCCCTTCACCTGTCCCGACATTGGCACTTTGACCCAGCGCGCGCGCATGATCTGCCACGCATGCCGCAGCACTCATGTAGATCACTTTGCTCACCGCACCGTATGCTTGCAAACCTGTAAACTAGGGCACCGCCGATGGGCACTCCAAATAGCTAGCTTGAAATGAGCGCAGGGCTCGCATCTGGGCCCAAGGGGCATCGAGGTCGCAGGAGGCAGCACCAGCTGGCAGCCCCGCGCCGGTGGACCCCTGGGTGCGTCCGCTCCGCGGCAGGCAGACGCGCGCCTGCTTGCGCACGGCCGCAGCCTTGAGGGCAGCGGCGTCCCAGGCGCTGTGGACGGCTACGTGCATGCCGTAGTGCAGCGGTTGTGGCGCAGGCCGCTGGGCCATAGCCGAGATGCCACCCAAAGCTGCGAGGGTGCGCGTCCAAGCAAACCAAATGCATTGATGCCACATGCTGTGCCTTTGACATGAATGCTCAGGTACATTAATTCTGTGCCGCGTGCGTCAGTGAGCTGTTGGTGTGTTTCCACCATGCCTCCCGGACTGCCAGGCCCCCCTGCAGCTGGGCGACTCAGGAGTCTTTGTGTCGCGCGGCGTTGATATCTGTGGCAATCAAGCCAAGCGAGCTGCCACATACCATGTAAGTGATAAGATTACAACAAATTTTGGCAGAGCGTAGGTGAGCGCAGAGAAGGTACAGGAACGGTACCGTAGGCCAAGGCACTGCCCTTGGAATAGGGGCCCATGGGGCAGCTGCGCCTGAGGCGCGCTTTGAGCCCATTGTGCAGGGCTAGTCGATGTAGTTTGAAGGCTTCAATGTCCTCGTGTGCGCTCATGAACCCTCTGCCAATCGGATCAGTTCAAAAATCACTGCCAGACGGAAAACTAACTTGATCTCAAACACTCGACATCCCTAGCTGCCTCACGTTGCAAGTACCAACGTCACAAACAGCGTGTACACTTCTTGATTCTCCCTTTCGATCCTGGAAGACAACTCAGGGCCTGTCCGTCGTGTCCACCTCAGCGTCAAGCGGGCCCAAGCCCGACGTTGCCAGCGCGCCACTTTGTCCCGCCGCGCCATCGCAGCGCGCCCAGCATGCCGCGCATCAACATGCCCGAGATCATGGACAGCCCGCGCTGCCCCAGCTTCTTGCGGGATGCGGTGACCGGCTACCTCCGAGTGATGACTGATCTCAGCCGGGTGTGCCAAGGCGCCGGCCCTGTCCTGCGGCGCCTGCTCGACCAGTTTGCCGATTATCAGATCCAGCAGCAGCAGCAGCAGCAGCAGGAGCAGCTGGATGGCGGCTGCGAAAACCAAAGGGGCGGCGACGGCGCGCACGCCGCCGCAGCTCCGCCGCCGCCGCCGACCCCGCCGCCGCCGACGCCGCCGCGCAGGGTTATCATCGACCTCTGCAGCGGCGGCGGCGGCCCTCTCATCGGCCTCGTCGCGCGCGGCGCTCTCGGGCCGGTCGACGAGGTCGTGCTCACCGACCTGTACCCAAACGCGGCCGCGTTCGCGCTCGCTGAGCGCCGCCTGCCGCCCGGCGCCTGCCGCGGCGTGATTACGGCGGTGGACGCGGGCGACGTGCCGCCTGAGCTGTGCGGCGGGGTGCGGACGCTCTTCAATAGCCTGCACCACTTGGCGCCACTGCTGGTGCTGCGGGTGCTGGCGGATGCGGCGCGGCAGGGGCAGCCATTTGCGGCGTTCGAGGTGCGTGCGCAGCGCGCGGGCGGCCCCGAGGCCGGGGCGCTCCTGCGCTGACAGGGGTTTGCGTAGAGGTGCAGGGCTATGCCTATGCAGTATTGCTCCGCGGTGCGGCTGATGGGGCTGGTCTCTTTGCAGCTGCCACCGCGGCTGCCCCTATTTAGTACCTGCACATGCACATGCCTGCACATGCTCTGTAGCGCATATGTACGCGCAACCACTTCCACAATTCCTCCAGCAATGCATGCAACGAATGCACACAAACAGAAGGGCATCACTTCATGACTTAATGGACCGCAGCACTCACCATACAAGGCACCCTAACGCAAACATATGAACGCACCCCCACCTCCAACGCAAGCAGGTTGTGGAGCGCCACCCCATCACAATGCTCGCTGCCCTCACCCAGAGCGTCGCCGTGCCCTTCCTGCTGCCCTTCACCGCCCGCCCGCCCCGCCTCGGCCGCCAGCTGCTGCGCCTCGCGGCTGCGCTGCCGGCGGCGCCGTTCGTGGCCGCCTACGACGGGCTCGCGTCCTGCGTGCGCGCGTACTCTGTGCATCAGCTGAGGGCGTTTGCGGCGCAGGCGTCGACGCCCGATTACCAGTTCGTCGTGAGGGAGTCGCCGCGGCGCCTGCTGGGGCTGTGCCCTTTCCGCCTCAGGTGGATCGAAGGGATGCCGAAAGCGCCCGACAGCGGGCCAGGGGCCGGCGAGGCCCAGCAAATCGAAGTGGCGGTGCAGTTGAAGGCTCACGCCCCGGCTGTTCTGGGCTCCAAGGAGGTTTGAGAGGGCGCCGTCTAGTCCGGGTGCACGCTCATTGCGATTGAAGCAATGCAGCCGGTGCCGGCAGCCTCCTCTTGCCACTTCTAGGGTGGTTTGATGCTCTTCGCATGCCGCAGGCATGGGGCTGTGGCACCCTTGCTGTTCTGGCGTGCAGTGGCCCAGACGGCCCATGTCGCAGCTGGTGTGTGAGGCGTGTCCCAAATCCATGCGTTGGCACCTGCCTGGTTGTGTCAGGATTCCAGCAATACGTAGGGCCTGCACCTGCGCGAAATCGCGCAATACGGCAGCGTTGACTCCACGATGGACGCCATGGCGCAAGTCTGTTTTTCTCCTGTGTCAGATGTTGTTGGTGTCCATTGCTTTAGGATGGCTTTGCTGTCTTGCCCCGCATTCATCCGTATCCGACGCGTCGAATCGCTCACTCTCCTGCCTGGGCGCCACCCTCCTGCACCTTGGATTTTGCCGTATGTAGCGCGCGATCTGCATGCATGGATGTATCTGATACATCCATCCGTGCATCTAAGCATTCATGCATGCCCTTCACCACAATCACCAGAGCGTGCCTATCATCCGCATCCCTATGATAATCCCCACATCATGACTGACCAGAGCCCTGCGCCCGACACAATCCAACCGCGACACTAAACACTGATGCTCAAACGCACGTGCATGCGACTCGAGCCGGCACCATGATGCACCGATATGCAGTGCTTGGTTGCGCCGAGGTGTTCACAACATGATTTCCTATGTGTAAATTCACATGACTGTTCTGCAAGGTGTCACTGCTCTGTGTTGCACGATGAATGGAGGCAAGTTTCCCTCCATTGTGTGTGCAACGGGCGGGCAGCGCAATGTTTCACGACTGCACGTCCCTTGCATTGCTGCTATTGTCAGCACACAGCCCTTTCCGGAAACGCACCAGCATCGGTTATGCACATTTGGCAGGGGCCAGGTGCGCATCAATCAGGTGTTGACCGGGCAGGTGACCAATTTGGCAGCCGGGCACTGCGGCATGCAGGCCCACTCTCACGTCCACAAGAAACTTCATACAGCTTCCACATGCAGCCATCCGGACGCCGCGGTTCATTTATAGTCACTGGCCGCGATCTGGTGTACCACTGGCGCGGAGGTATATTAATAAAGACACTTGAGTTCATAGAACTAGGATCACGCGAGATATACCGGCACATTGCCCTCTCCTCTCAGCGGAAGTCTACGGGGGGCGGGAGGCTTCTTGAGCCTTGCGGGCCCATGCTCCTGCCTCTTTCCGTGCAGACGTAGGAGCACACAGCTGCAGTCATGGGTGAGTTGAACCTGGAGTCGAGGTGTGGCCGCAGACAGGCTGCCCTGCTCGGTGCAGCGGCTTGCGGGCGTGCGGCGCGCTCGATGATGTTCAGCAAATGACCTTGTGTTACAGCTTCTGTTGCGTTATGGCACGGCGGGGATGCTGGTGGCGAGGCAGGACAGGGCGGCCGAGAAGGCGCTCGACGGAGCTTGGCAGCCGCTGTTTAGAGTTCTGCTGTTTGGAGTTAGTGAACCGGGAGGCATTTCTGGCGCCAGGCACCACAGTTGCAGCGGGCGTGGCAGTGCAGGGAGCCGCCGCCGTACCACAGCAGCAGGCGCACTGCTGCTGTTGGTGCTGCTGGCCAGCTCGGGACCTGTGTGCAACATCACAGCCGCCCAGCTTGTCCAAGAGGTGGTTGGCATCTGCGCGGCAGCCGCGGAGTGGTCGATCTCGTGCAGGATCGAAACGTCGCCCCGCCTGCCGCATTTGCTGCCCTTCACAGGGATCAGCCGTGACAGCCTGCACAAGCGCAGGGCGACCGGTGGTCGCCAGAAGGCCTGGCGTAAGAAGAAGAAGTGAGCGCCTTGAAGCAGCCGGCGGGCGGCCAGCGGCGGGCAAGGCTGCATGGGACTCGGCAACAGGCCAGCCTCGTGGCCTCTGTTCAAGCCCAGGCCGCAACCGGTCCGCAGCAGGGACAGCCCGCCCCGCCCGGCCCGTGACCGTTTCCTCCCTCACGCCATGCGAACCGCACTCCAGGTATGAGCTCGGCCGCCAGCCCGCCAACACCAAGCTCAGCTCGCACGTGGCCGTAAGGACCGTGCGCACGCGCGGCGGCAACACCAAGTTCAGGGCGCTGCGCCTGGACCACGGCAACTACTCCTGGGGCAGCGAGGTGCGGCGACGCTACGTTTCTTGGCAGTGCCCTGGCTGGCAGCCCTCTTGAGTGGCGGTTGTGTTGGTGTGCGTGAGCCGCTCTGCGGCGGTATTGCGCGGCGTGCAGGCACCCGCAGGCCGTGCGCTTCTTTCGGCCTTTGCGCCAGCGCCGCGCAGAGCACAGCGGCGCAGCGCAGCCCTCGGGTTTGGCGCGGTCGGGGCAGCCGGTCGCTGATCGTCTCCATTTGGTTTGAACACCAAGCCGCGCGCCCGGCCTACTTATTGGGCGGTGCAGTGACGTTAAACATTCCTCGTCCTGAGACGCCCTCGCGGTGCTGGATGACACACTTACACCCATAGAATCTGAGCACCCCCCAAAAAGCCAGTGTCTGCTGCTTTGTCTCCTGGACTCCTTGACTTGGGCGTGCTGTCTAGCGCTGTTGCGCACGGCCAGTGCACCCCCGCCACGGGCACCCACGGGCACCCCCTCCCAGCTGGTGCCACAACCTGCCTCGGCCGGGGCGCCCGGTCGCTGATGGTCTCCATTTGTTGAACACCAAGCCGCGCGTGCAGTCGCGGTTCGGCCAGGCTTGTTTTTGGTGGTGCAGTGACGTTAAACATTCCTCGTCCTGAGACGCCCTTGCGGTGCTGGATGACACTCTTACACCCATAGAATCTGAGCACTCCCCCAAAACATTTTGTCTGCCTCTTTGTCTCCTCAACTCCTTGACTTAGGCGTGCCGTCTAGCGCTGTCGCGCACGGCCAGAGCACCCTTGCCACGCGCACCACATCCACCCCGCCTGGTCTCGCAACCCGCCCCGGCCC